GCAGGTTAATTAAGATAATAATACCAAAAAACCAAACCTGTTGCTGTCGAGTCGATTCCGACTCATAGTGACTCTATAGGACAGAGTAGAACTGCCCCATAGAGTTTCCAGGGAGCACCTGGTGGATTCGAACTGCTGACCTTTTGGTTAGCAGATGTAGCTCTTAACCACTATACCACCAAGTTAATGATAGCAGTGCCCAAAATCTTGCCTTCCTTCCTGCCATGCTCTCTTTCAAGTCCTTCTCCTTATATGCCTCTTTTTAAAGTAAAAAAGAACTGTATTAAATCTTTTTTACTGTGAATATACCCAGCTAACTTTAACAGTCTTTCTGAAAATTAAACTCAATTAAGGTGGTCTTTCATCTTTATCTTTACCCGTATTTGGTAATGAAATTGCATTCATATGTCAGCAACAGATATTTTATATGAGTTTAAGTCATAGCGCAGTGATTAAGAGCTACAGCTGCTCACCACAAGGTTGGCAGTTCGAATCCACCAGCCACTCCTTGAAAATCCTATGGGGCAGTTCTACTCTGTCCTGTCGGGTCTCTTTGAGTCAGAATCCACTAGACAGCAATGGATTTGGTTAATCAATATTGTAGGAGTCCCCGTGTGGTGCAAATGGTTATGTGCTCAGCTGCTGATTAAAAAGTTGGAGATTTGAGGCCATCCAGAGGTACCTTGGAAGAAAGGCCTGGCAGTCTACTTCTGTATAATCAGCCACTGAACACCCTATGGAGCACAATTCCACTCTGATACACGTGGGGTCACCATGAGTTGGAGTCAACTCTACAGCAACTCATTAATTGCTGCCATAACTTAAGAAATGCCATGGAAAAGCTAAAAAGTGGGAAAAATGAAGTATAGTTTCATTGTCTTAACTATGTACTGTTTCCCTAACACAAGATTGTTCACCATTGTCCTTAGATTTTGAAGATGACATGATTATAACATCTGATGTCTCCCGATATATTGAAGACCCTGGTTTTGGGTATGAGGATTTTGCCAGAAGAGGGGAAGAGCATTTGCCAACATTCCGAGCTCAGGTATAAGATGTGTTTAATTCAGAGAAACTAGGGAATAAATAGTGTCATTTTAACTGTTAAACATAAAACACCCTAGAAAACATAGCCGCACAGTGATGTGGCTCCTAGAGAGGGGATAGTTTTAATTAAGACAGACTCCTTTGCTTGTTTCAGATGATCTGCTAACTGTCCATGTCACTGAGTCAGGTTGGTCACATAGGGTTATTCTGAGATCTCCTGGGGTCCTTCCACATCAGGGCACAGTGTGTTTAGTACCTGACCACAGGAAGTGGCCAGAGTTCATCACTAACATGCAAGCTCTGGACCCCACTGAAGAAACATCATAGCACTCCGGTCAGCAGACTGATATGAAAGGCTGTTAGTAAAGCTGCAAACCTAGAATGTAAATTTGAAATATCCTCACTTACTTGCTTCACTGTTAATTTGAACAAAAACACAGAGTTTAAATGGAGACTGCCCATTTTGCATCTGGATAAATTTTATTCTTTTAGGACTATACTTGGGAAAATCATGGGTTCTCCCTGGTGAACAGACTTTATTCTGACATTGGACATCTTCTTGATGAAAAGTTTCGGATGGTCTACAATCTCACCTATAACACTATGGCCACCCATGAGGATGTTGACACAACCATGCTGCGCAGAGCTTTATTTAACTATGTCCACTGTATGTTTGGAATCAGGTATGTTCATTGTGGAGACAGTTTTATATATTTCTAAATGAAAATTCTAACATGAGTCTTAGTTACCTCCTATTTAGGAGGATACAATTCAGGGGAGAAAACATTACATGTGGACTTGTGATTGAAAAAAAAAAAATGTATTCTGTTTTGTAGAAAAGCATTATTCTCTGTTAAATATTGTGAATCTTAATATTGATGCACATATAAGTATAGTAGTAAGAATTTCATGAGGAGGGGAAAAAGCATGAGTGATCTTTACAGATACATAGAATCAGACTCCATTTGAGAATGTTTCCTGGAAGAATAGGTCAGTTAAAAAGCATATATTATGTTCCTTTAGATCATTGTAATAAATGCTAGTTAGTTTGTTTTTTAATTTATTTTTGAAGGCATGGTAATTAGAGTATAAGCAAAACTGGAATAGATTCTGCCCTCAAAGTTTGCCATGCATTATTATCATGTAAGAACACGGAAACAAAACATATCGATCAGTATAAATTAATGGCCTTTAAATTTAGAAAATTAGTATTGAGAGGACAGTGAGTAAAAGAGTGAATCAGGTTGAATGGTTTAATCAAGAAAGCTCTTTTTGGATAATGTGCCTTTTTGAGCTGGACTTTCAAGGCTTTCATGGAGATAAATTTGCAGAAAAAATTTCCGGTTATGTGTACATTCAACTTGACTGTTTACTATATCCTTTCTGATGGTTCTAAAGTCTTTATAGAATGGAATTGGAATTAGAATTCAAGTTGTTGAGCAGCATGCTGTCTATAGATTTTAAATGAATAATCTCAAAATTTCCTGATAAATCAATTAACAACGCACCATTCTCTCTAAAAAACACTGCTGTGATAGTACATAATAACTATATTCTTGGCCATATGCCATCCTAGATAATAGGTTATCACAGAATTGTCACATTTTAAAATACATGTATGTTTATACCTACCCAAGTAAAATAAACATCAATAGAATTTAATTGCAATAAATATGTATTGTATGCAAGGCAAATAAATAACAAATGTTGTGGTGGTTATATTTTTCTGTTGGATGCTACTATATAAAGCTTTTATAAAATTCTCAAAGTACTTTTTTAAACCAACAATAAGCATTTAAAATTTTTTAAATTAACTGAAAAAATAGAAGAGAAATTCCACAAGCTCCCAGCGCCGCATTTTACCCACCTACCTGCGTCTGTGCCCGTTTACTGTGCTGCCTCTTCTGTTTTCATGGATAAGCTGTCTGTGCTCCTCTCCACTTGTGCACAAAACTCCATCTCCTCTCACCTTTTAAAGGATTCTCTTCTAGCAACTCTATCCCCTTTCCCGTGCATGATCAGCTTTACTCTCTTTATTGGATCTTTCTCATCAGTGTATAACCATGCTGTTATTTCTCCAGTCTTTAAAAAAAATCCTTTCTTCATCCTTCCTTTTCCTTCTGGCTACTACCCCTTTTACCTGCTCCCATGCACAGCAAATCTCTTTGAAAACAAATGTAAATATTTACTGCCACCATTTTATCATCTCCCATTCTCTCTTGAACCTGCTGCAATTTCAGGCTTTTACCCCTACTGTGCCAACAAAACTGCTCTTGTTGAGGCTGCCAGTGACCTCCACAGAGCTCCCTCCAGTGGTCATTTCTCAGTTATCATATTGTCTTACCAGCAGCACTAAATAGTTGATTGCTCCCTCTTCCCTAAAACACTCTTCACTAGACTCCTGCCTCAGGGCCTTTACACCTGCTCCTTCACCTTCTTCTGGTATTTGCTCAAACATCAACCTCTCAGAGAAGCCTGTATCATCCTACTTAAAACTGCAACTCCTCCCCTGCAGCCCCAGCTTTATTTTTTTCTCCGAAGTACTAATCACCATCTGATATATTTGTTTTTTCTTTTTTCCCCAATAGAATTTAAACACCATGAGCCGGGAGTTTTTGTCTATTTTGTTCACTAATGTTCAGATTTCTTCAGTGCCTAGAAGTGTGCCTGGCATGTAATAGACATTCAGTCAATATTTGTTAAATGAATGAATTAATGAGCTTTTGGTATTTAATTACTAGACAATGAATGTCTCTTGGTATAACTTTATAAATGAAGAGTTCTGATTATGTCATTATAAAACTGTTGTTGGGTTACTTAGGTATGATGACTATGATTATGGAGAAGTTAATCAATTACTTGAACGAAGCCTGAAGGTTTACATTAAGACAGTGACCTGCTATCCTGAGAGAACTACAAAGCGCATGTATGATAGTTACTGGCGTCAGTTCAAACACTCAGAAAAGGTAAATAATTCCTAACACTCCACCTAGATAGATGCTCAATACAGGATATAATGATTATGAAAAAATGATACATGAATATTAATGAATTAGTATCATTGAAGCAATAAAAGTGGCATCATCTAGCTATATGTATTTTTTTAATGTCTTTTAAATCAAGTTTATTGATTATTAACTAAATTTTGGTCATGTGTTTTATCTATATATATGTATAAAGTAAAAGTTTAGCATCAGTCTTTGGAAAATTGGTTCTAAATATCGATAGTTTTAAGGTACATTTGGAAAATTGTCTACCATTTTAACTATTAATAAAAAAAAATCAAACCTAATGAGATGTTAAGTGTAATTGTATCTTGGCCCAGAAGGCATATCCATTTAGAGATTCTTTAACTCTGTTTAGCCATTGGGGTTAACCTATTAGAGCAATAATTTTTTATTCTACTTCGGTAATTTGGTATTTTGACACTGTAATCCAAGACCTTTGAGCCAAATACATTATTATATAAGAATATTTCTTTTGATGAAATATATAGGAACCATTGTTTAAGTTAAGACCTAATAAATACAAGGGTCTTTACCAACCTTTTAGTATCAAAGCTGGCCTTAAATCATAAGTCTTTTGACCTTTAACTCCAAGGATCTTTTCTTTATACTACAATTTCCAAGCATGAAAGTAAGAAAATCTTTTTATGGGCCTAACATTCAGTAAAGGAGCCCTAGTAGCACAATGGTTAAGTGCTCAGCTGCTAATCGAAAGGTCAGCAGTTTGAACCCACCGCAGGAGGAAGATGTGGCAGTCTGCATCTATAAAGATTACAGCCTTGGGAACGCTGGGAGGCAGTTCTACCCTCTAGAGTGTCACTGTAAGTCATAATCAACTCGACGGCAATGAGTTGTCAGGTTTTAACTTTCACTAATTGGCAAAGAACATTATAGCCTCAGTATCTAACAGATTTTTTGAAATCTTACAATCAGTCAGACATGAGGCAATACCCATTGAATCTCTGACATCTCTGCATGATTTATCTTTATGCTCTGTTTATATGTTTGCAGTAGATTTTCTTCCCTTTCTAGATTATATATAGAAATTCCCTTCATCAGGAGAATATATCCAACCTTTAGAAAGAGAGAAAAAGAATTTAAATATATTATCATAACATATTGTTTGTAATAAATTTTGAAAACACATGGATATTCATTTTAACCTATCAGCTGAGAAGTACCTCCGAAGAAAGTTAAGAAGTGTTTGTTCACCACTGTATCTCATTGACTCTGGGGAGCCTACACATAATGTAATGTATTAGAAACTGCTTTAGACATCTGGTTTTCACTTTAGTATCTTTCAGGTAAACAATAGAAAAATTTTAAAAAGCTTTTCCAAGTAATAAGCATAAGCAGTAAGAAATATAGGGCTGATTTTTTAGCCACATAAAATTTTACAACTAGTGGAAGAAAAGTATAATTTGTAGGAAAGTTGTAATTTATAAAAATTAATTTTATTTTATAACCCAAAAGGTATAATGGCTTTACATAGAGTATATTCTAACAAAATTATTGGAGTTTTTAGGTTTTACAGGTTGTTTTTACTGCTCACAAAGGTATTTTTTACAAATGACAGGTTTCTTGTGAAAGCTACATCATGTACTTGCATAAATATGCCCAGGCATGTATGTTTGTATATCTGTCTATATATACATGCAAAACCTTTGTGAATGTTTCTATATGAAAAATTGTTCAAGTTGTTTATAGTGTTTGTTAAACTGACAACATTTTTATTTCTAGGTTCACGTAAATCTACTTTTAATGGAAGCACGGATGCAAGCCGAACTTCTTTATGCTCTTCGTGCCATAACTCGACATTTGACCTGAAACATCACCCAGAGAAAGTGTCATATATGTGTGAAGACCTTTTCACATGAGATATACTCGAAGCTGTTTGTGATGTAGCATCAAAAATTATCCAATTCTCTAGTGTCAAAGTTTAGCCGTTTTTTTTTTTTGTTCGTTCGTTTGTTTTTTTTTTTGCGGCTGTAATGTGCAATGATGTGTTTTATTTTTCTTGATGCTTAACATTACTAACAACTGCAAAAATAATACTGAGGAGCACTACTTTGCATTGTTTATAGTTGGATTTTTGGATACTGACCATAAGTCATGAATCTGGTTTGTTAATGCTTAACGTCAGCGCTTTTGGGTTTGTGGGTATGTGTACTGTTTTTTTCTTTCTTTCTTTTTTTTAAGTAAAAAAAAGCGCTTACAATCTGTTCAAGCAATTGTTCTTCAGATATTCGAATTCAGCAAAGAATGGCTCCCCTCTGGCCATTCTAAATTTTTAATGTTGTGTCCTAAATCTGGTAGAGGAAAAGCATGCGCTGTTGAACCAAGCTGCTCAATGGACACGTGTGTGTCCCCAGGAGATTATTTGTCAGGCACTGTTTTTGTTTTGTTTTCATTTTTTACTGTTATTGGCGATAACGTGAAATGTGATACAGCCATTGTCCATAATTTAATGTGAAATTAATCATGTTGAATTCTATAGCATGCTACTGAAATGCCAAATTTAGTTATTTTCTTTCTCTTCTGAAACAGAAGTTTCAGTTTTCCATATCAGATATATATATTAGAAGTGGAATTATGCACAATCCTTTCTATCACTGACGGTAATCCTCAGTCATCTTCAACAATCAGTGCTCACAGTGCTGCTTACAGTTCATTTAGTTGGCACATATAAACCTGCACCCACACAAGACTGACCAAAAATTTTCTTTGCACATTTTTCCTTTCTCATAGTTTTTTCTATATTACGGTAAGCAAAGGAAGGTTAGTATACCTATATTTTCCCTGTTAAGCTTTTAGAAATTATTTACCATGATTTTTCTTCTTGTAATAGGTTAAACAGGTTATTATTCAAAGATAAAAATTGTGTTTCTATGCATTAATGTGATTGAACAACAACAACAACAAAGAGTGCAATATGTTAAAAGAAATACTAAACTAAAATTCTCCCCTATTACGTCACTGCAGAAGTGTCCTTCTAAACATAGCCATAAAGAAATTTTGTTCAAATTTCTTTATTGCACAAGGCTTTTTTTTTTTTTTTCTTTCAGTTTTACCTACCTTACTGGGGTTAAACAATGTTCTTTTCATAATGCCAAAGCATTCCCTTCCCCAGAAAAATCTCTTTGGACAACTGGTTAAGAAAATATATCAAGTCTTAGGGGAAGGATAAGCGGCCAAAAAGTCACATTTTTGCATTGGTTTATGTTGCTTGATTAGACTATGTTCAGAGAGCACAACATTATGTGTTTATAGCTTTAATTTGTATTATGTTAATGAACCAGTGAAGTGCCTGAAGAGATGCTTACAACTATCCAGTAGGACACGACTGCACTGCTTAAACACTTTTTGGTTAATTAAGGGTGACTTGAATTTTACACATACATGCTAATTTTTTAAAAACAGACCATGTTTTCATAGTAAATAATATAGCTAAAATTTTCCGTTAGAGATCCCACAAAGATTTCATTTCAGACTTCCTTGTTATTTAAGACTTACTTTTTTCTCTCATGAAAGAATCGTGAGCTAGTGTTTTGTTAAATCATTTCCCCCTTCCATTTATCATCCTTCTGGTACAATACATTCGGTTTCTTTCTTTTAGATTTTGTTCCAGATAAGAAAACAAAAAGATGATCATAAATCTATTACTATAAGGTAGTTCTGCATTTTTTGATTCCAGGCTCTTACTTGAAATCGTCCATGTGAGGAAAAAAAATTACTAATATTTTTGAAGACAGGGTGGTTTATTTAAAGAGATTATTCAGAGAACTTGTGCCAGATCTCCTGTTTTGTTCATTGCACATATCGATTTAATCCAATATCACATTATATAGATATGTATTATTATGTACAAAGAAAGTATTTAGAAGAATGGCAAAACACAGATGACAACATAAATGTCCATTTGATTTCCCTACTTTAGAACTTTCAAGTTGGGCTTATGTTTTATTCTTGACATTTGTTTTTCTACTAGAGTTCTTTAATAGCCCTATATTTTAGTGCAGGTGAACTGTATTACAGGATGAAAAATAATCTTTACATAATGAAAAGGAGAAACTGTCACAGACCATCACATGAGCTTCAGACCAAAAGGGGAAACAAGGTTTAAGTAACTAAAATGACCACTTAGCTTTTAGTTTTTTTTTTTTTTTTTTTTTCAGTTTTTTCCCCAGAAATATGAAGTAGTTGGAGTTTGGGTTACGGAAATATTAGTGCCTTTACTAGATCTTTTTCCAGCCAAGTTTCTTTTTAGCTCAGCATTGGTCTATCTCATCAATAATCGGGAAAGTGAGTTGACTTGGAACTATAAACAAAAACAAAACAATGTATTTGTGAACCAGCCTAGAAAAACTGACTTCTGAAAGTGCTAACGCACCTACTAAGATGCAGCATGCACAGCGTTCCAGGTTGTGAATACCATTTTGCTGCGAGTTTGCTGTTAACTTTCTTTATCTAATGCAAACTTGAAGTTCTGATGCGGTTTTCCAGGGTGGTATTTTTTCAGAGTACTGAATTTACTATGTAATTTATAGTATAGCTTTTTATATTCAAATGTGATATTTTTAAAAGAGATGTCTGGTTCAATTGGTTTAATGATATGATTATATGATACGCTAATCTACACCTTGGGCTCACATTGTGCCAAACTTAAATGTGCAAGTGTATGGTCAAAAAGCACATGTGAATGTGAATCCTTTACCTCTGTTGCTTATTATGTTACAATTAGTGTAATAATCCACTGATGTATATTCTTGAGTAATGTCTATTTACCTTTTCTTGCTGGAATAACAAGTTTTCCAGCTTCAATTGTAGTTCTTGATTTCTCAGATCACCTTAAGAAATATCTGAGTACTCTCCCACCTAAAAGTAAATCTGTTCTTTAACCTCATCACTTGAGTGAGAGAGTGGCCAGGCAGGTGCCTCATTGGATCCTTCACATCAGGCTTCCTCAGGTGGACTCGTGATAATAAGGGGAAAAGAGGCTTTGAGATGGGACTATTTATTACCTTCTTCACTTTTTTGAACTAAGTATATTGTCTCAGTCTCAAGAAGAATCTTTGTCCCATTTGGGAGATTTTTAAAATAAAAGATGCTAACGTGGAATCTGGGGCATGGCCTTGGCCTTTAATTATGGCTTTAAAACCCAAATAATGGCAGAGCACCACAGGGCTGTTTTAGAATAGAAAACTCACTCTAAGCTCTATATTAAGATCATTTTTGAACCAGCGCCCTATTTTAATTGCATAATAATATCACCTAAAGCTTTTAAATTATTCCAGAGCAACTTTTTCCTTTTCCACCTTATAGAGTTTTAAAAAATCCCATCTTAGATTTTTATGCTGCAGCAAAGTAAAATTATCAGCAAACAATTAAAGGCATCTACTTAAAATAGTTCCATTTTAGTTCAGAATGCATGTATATATAATGGGAAGATTCTTTTAAATTCTAAGGACAATTCATCAGGGAAAAAATTTTCAGTGCATGTTACAGAAATGATTTGCACTGTAATAGTAAAATGAGGTTTTTGTTTTGTTTTGAAGACAATTCTAAATCATTTCTCTGGAAATCGAGACCTTAAACTCTTCTCTTTATCGAATAAAACTTTTTCTTTTATGCAAATAGATGGTCTTGCATGGAGTAAAAAGTATGCAACAGACAAATTATGTTACGTAAATAGTATATGAAATTTTCTTAATAGTATAATTCAACAGTCAACTGAAAGACGTGGCTCCTCTGTTCAAATCGAATTTTAAGTTATGTGATTTGTATAATCAGAACCTATTCTGGGTGGTCGTCGTCATAAACTGTTTCCCTATTATATCCCTCTGGAGACTGAGAATCAAATTAAGTAGTCTTTCCTCAAAGCAGTACTGTAACATGAATGTATTCATCTCAGTCAACAGAATTCAAATGCCCACTGTATGTGGCGCTTACTTCAGTGCTAATTTGGCACATTAGCAGTGTCTGCTCAGGTGAGACCTAGAACAAAAATAGCTGGGGTGAAATGGATCATAGAGGTGGCGGTATATATTGAGGCAGAGCCTTTTGAGGAAGGAAAAGTTTCTCAAAGAACCCATGGAACATAATTCTGAGAGGGTGACTATCCTCACACCTAATATAAAGGAAACATTTCCCACCTGGGAGCTCCTACCTGCATTCAGTCCACCCTTTCTTGCCTGCTTTCTCTTCCTCCAAGTGCCTCAACCTCTACATGCCCTCTCTCCTCTCCCTCCCTCAGCCAATCCTGGTCTGAAGGACTTTTAGAATCCAAACCAAACATCACCAGCCACCTGCTGATAGTCACCAGCATTCACTTTTCTGAGTTACTTTTTCTCCATTCATTAAGAATATGACTTTATCATGACTCCCTCTAAATCCCTCAACCACCCAGATATATTTTGGCTAACCTTTACCCTAGACAACCAGATTTTATACAGCACCAAGTGTAATCTTGTCCATCCCATACTGTTCTACTCTTATCCCTGCTGCCAAAATATCTTGCTATCCTCTACCTCATCCCCAAAGAGCCTATAAGTTTGGAGTATCCAACCGTTTCATAGATTCACTCTCTGTTGTTCAGTAATACTACTTCATATTTTAAATAAATCATAAAAGATTTTTGCCTTCTATCAAAGTAGGAATCTTTATATTTATACACGATACAGAAATTGAACTATTTCTACCATGCAGAATTTAGCATTTAACAGGATTTTAAAGTGATTTAATTGCCATTCTAACTTGGATCTATATTAGGTAGTGAATATTGGTATTAATCCAGGTTATTTGAATGTAAAGTTAAAATTCTCCTGCAATCCAGATCTATAACCCTTCAGTGGAACTGGAAATTCCTGTCATACAAATGAGTGCTGTTTCAGACAGTTGTATTTTTTATTGGTGTTGTTGGAACCTTGAAACACATTTTTAATAGAAGGGCCTGTATGAAAAGTAGTGTTTAGGTGGCTCTACCAGAACACAGAAGTCCATTTGATCCATAATGTAGATAAAACACCACAAAATTGGATGCATAGGGTTTGATCAGGCTTTCCTGGGTTAGACTGGGACTCTAGCCCCCATTCCTACCCTGTTCTCATGGAAAAAAAAAAGTCCTGTGGGATGAAAAGGGAATGCATAGACTTCAGGTACATCCAGAGAGCATCATTATGGAGCAGGAAGTACACAGGGGAAGGAGAAGCAACAGTTCTTCTCTAGCCAGTGTGCACTAGATGCTGTTCATAGATGTAAAATATTTCTAAGTCAGGTTTATAACATGGGGAGTGTTTATCTATAGATGTTTATCTGACTTGAAGATAAATCAACCCTGTTTGAAAGTATAGATTATGATGATCTGCAGTGGTATTTGGATGCTTTTCATTCTCATTTATGAGCAACCCAACCTGATAGCACAGTCCATTAAATGGCTCAAAGGGCTTGGGAGTGAATCGATGGCCTAGTTTAGAAATGAGACTTAATAATTGAGGCTGAAGGGGTGTTTTTTATTAAATCAGGTCATGAAGTGTTCATTCTAGCTTTAAACTAGTTATGACTGCCCCACCAGGAAGCACAGAATTGAAGACATATAGGGGAAAAAAACAATGAGTATCTGGTACTTTTCAGAACTTATGGAAATCTTTGAAATAATGCAATGCATACAATAAAATAGCCTTTAGAACAAATGTGCATTTTACAGCTCATAGGACATCAAACATTAATAAGTCTAAACATGAAAAATACAATTGTTTTATATGTAAATTTTGTTAAAACAGTATTTTATTGCATCCTCAATTTAACCTCTTAAAAGTGAAAGCATAATTTCTACAGAAAGGGTAGAAGAAAGAGGGAGAGAGAATCTCTGGTCTTTAAACTCATTGCCGTTGAGGCGATTCCAACTCATAGCGACCCTATAGGACAGAGTAGAACTGCCCCACAGAGTTTCCAAGGAGTGGCTGGTGGATTCCAACTGTCGACCTTTTGGTTAGCAGCCAAGCTCTTAAACACTGCGCCACCAGGGTCTTTAGTCCTACAATATTGTTCATGAATCCTGATTAGTTAAGTACATACATTATGATACTGAATGAAACTGATTACATCTCTCTCTTGATTAGCCTTATAATTTTCAAATGGCTGTCCCTAGTTTGGTAAGGAAGGATCAAAAGGTAGGATAAAGGAAACCTATCAGTTGGGTGGCCAACAAGTTTCCTTTGTAATGTTGAGTATTTTTCTCCTTTCTGAATTTCTCTGGTTCTCTAAAATGTAAGTTAAGAGTTAAATGGTACCCTTATTCACCAAGGAAAGTGATCCAAACTATCTAGTGCAGATATTTTCCTTTGAATTCCTATATCTTCCCTGGAAGGAAAATACTTTTTTCCCCTCCCTCTTTCTCTTCACGTTTACTCTTTTCAACCCAAAATAAGATAGACACAGAAAACAAACCACATACCAGTTTGGCATCTTCTCAATGCTAGTCGAATAGGCACATCCACATGCAGTCTCAGCAAGGCAAAACCAGAACCCTGTCAGGTCAACTTGGAACTTGGCCTTGCTACTTGGATTAGCTCCTTCAAACCTGAAAATAACTTTCCTGGTCATGGAAGAACTGGATGTATCCTTTAGCTAATGAAACAGGATTTGAACTTGAAATCTCTTTTTTTAATCCTGATTTTGCAGGGCAGCTACATAATGAATGTATATATTAAGAGTTTGTAGCTGAATTGCACATGAAATCAGATTGCCAACTTCTTGACTTTCAGTTTTAGACATCATTTTATCCTTAAGTTGTGAGCAATATATGTAGCATGCTGTGAAACGTCTATTATAGTTCTTTAATTCATCAGTATTAATACAGAATTATCTTTTGTGTTCCTTGGTACTTTTTATTCAATGTAATCAGAAGCTGTGATATTTTGCCTTTGTAGTCCTGTGCTTTGTTACTGTAATTTTTTTTTCTTTACAAAGCACGTGACTTTGGACTAATGTGAGGCGGATGACGTGATCTTTAAGACTGCTATATATATCAGTCTTACTATATAAGGTTTTAAATTAGAATAAGCTTTTATCAAATAGATCATTGATGCAATTTAGGATTCACACAAGTTTCAGTGTCCAATGGCGGTCTTATATTTATAGTTTCAGTTAAGAAAATAGCAAACTTGATAAACAGCCACTTTAAACTTGTTCTGGCAAACCAGACCCTGCTGTAGATATAGTCTAAAGTAGTTAACCATATAAGCCTTTTCAACTTGTATGCCCTCCATGTAAGTCAGCAGTTAAGGAGATTAGAGAACCCATGAAAGCTTTTTTGTATTACTAGGTTTTATTTTTCTTATGTTGCTGATTTTACAATTCTGACTAAAGCTGACCTGAATGGATCAGTTTACGTGTAATATTCTAGGCTTTATTGCTTTTTTTTTTGGAGGGATGGGTAATATTATTTGGACAGATGCAGAAGGAACTGTTAGTGAGTCAAGACAAAACACATTTGAAATAAAGGAACTGTGTATTAACATGTTAACAACAATTCATAACTGCACTTTTTATGACATTTTGAAAATCTATTTATAGGTACAGAACAATGGATTTTGTTAAACTGTATCACATTTATACTTGCAGAAATTTATTTCATTGTTATTAGTAGGAATTTTATTGGTTCAATAAAATTGGCAAAACTGAACCCTGATCATTTGATTTTATACATATATGTATATGTATTTGTATTGGAGTAAGACTCTTGCCTGGGTTTGTTTATGCTGATTATTGAGACATATATCTTGAAAGACATCAGAAATGTAAGCGTCATTTATTTTCCCTCATTTCTTCCCAACTGACAGTCTCATATTTTTTAATAATCACCTCAATATTGCATTAGTGGAATATTGCAATAATGCAAGCTATGGAAAATGTATAATTATTGTTACCTTTTAAAATACCAATTTTGATCTCAACAAAAGGCAAATTAATTTCATTATTACCCCCTTGTTAACGAATATAGTAACAGAATGGGGAAAGGGGCATTGAGCATGGGCTCAGAGCCTGTATTCAAGACCTGTTTTTTTTCTGCATTGTACTAGCTTTGAGACCTTGGAAATAATTTACTCTCTATAAACCTTGGTTTCCTCACTGCGAACTGCGGGGAATAATACCTACTTGAGAGGGTTGGTTGAGAATTAGGTGAAGTGCAATAATGTATTTGAAATAATACAGCACATGATAAATTTGAATGGATAAATGAAAACGCTGGAGAATAGTGTTGCTAATTTGAAATAAAAATGTAGGAAGGAGAAATTAATGGGGAGGGGGAGATTATACATGTATAATGTGAAGTGATGGTAAGACCTCCAAGTAGAAACATAAAATGTAACGGGATGTGTGAAGTCTTGTGCAAGGTTTTCCAAGAAAAGGCTTTTCATTTCTCTTAACTTGCTGATTACGTAAAAAATCACACCAAAGGCAACAGCTCTTCCTTTGTGCCATAGGTCCAGCTGAAATGGGAGACCAGTGGAAACCAGCTCCTTGCTGATTAGAATCTGTCTTTGCCAAAAATCTGCAATATCTATGGGGAGATAAAGGGTAGCACCCATCGGATCAAACTGTCAGCCAACAGCTCATCTCTTCCACAAGTTCTCCCTCAATTTGAAATCTGACTTTTTACCACTAGTTCCCTACGAATTTATTAACAACTTTGAACCATTTTTAAAAGTAAAATAAAACTCATGTTTATGTGTGTCCTTGGTCCCTTCACACATACAATCTCATTTAATCCTTGGAGTAACTTTGCAAAGAACTGATGTCTTCATTTTATAGATGAAGAAATTGAGTCTTAGCTTTGCTTGCCCAAGAGTTGACACCTAGAATTGGCATAGTGGATTTGAACTCCAGTCTTTCTGATAGCACTTTTTATCTGAACTTTCCTACCTTAATTTAGCCCAGATTTCTTGCTTAATGATATAAATGACCATAACCCCCCCCCCCCCATAAAAAACCAGTTGCCTCTTGAGTCGATTCCAACTCATAGCAACCCTATAGGACAGATGAGAACTGTCCAATAGGGTTTCCAAGGAGCAGTCGGTGGATTCTAACCGCCGACCTTTTGGTTAGCAGCTAAGCCCTTAACCACTGTGCCAGCAGGGTTCCAATAGACATTTAGTCAGTGTCTGTCATGTATCAGAAGAATCAAAGGTGATTAAGATACAGTCATGTCCTGAAAAGAACTTACTGGTGTCATGAGGCCGTCTTTATTCTCTATCTCCTGTCCCTCACCCTTTCTTTCCAGGCACTTACTGAGGCTGTCAGTAGGTCTTATATAACCTAGGGCAGGTTACCTATGTCTCTGAGGCCCCACAGTTTCTCTCTTGACACAATGAGAGAAAAGAATGTCTAACTCAAAGACAGTTGTAAGTATTAAATAGGATTTTAGTATAACTTTCTAACATGCGCTTCCCATTCTGATTGAGAAGAAAGCTGGTCTCAGAAAAGGTCTCTTCTGCCATATCTCATCTAGTTGGCATGTTTCAGAACACTTACGTGAGCCCAAACCTTTCCATAAAACTAATCCTTAAAAGGAAGCTGGCACAAGAATTCTTAATGTATTATTAGGCTCCCTCTTGCACTGGCCCGCTCCTAAAATAAACATACACAAGTTCTTCAACTTCCCATCAAAGTGAAACTTAGGAAAACTATCCTGGTTACAGTACTTTTCAACACCCATTAACTGTCTCCTCTTTATTTACAAAGAGGCATATTCTGCACACCTTTTGTACACCACAGCCCTCTTGACCCAGTCTAACCCCTGCTGCTGCTGTGGCAGCCAGTTCCATGCAGGCTTTGGCCAGATTTTCACAGATGTAGTGGGAAAGTACCTCCTGTGGCCCTGGAGAGCTTACCTCTGGCTTCCTGACCCAGGGTAGGTTACCAGAAGGAACCGCCTTTGCACTCAGCATGCACAGCCCACAAGTGCAGGAAGTTGCCATGACCAGTGGCTAACCGAGTCAGTGGATGAGGGCTTCCTTCCTTCCTCCCTCTCAGAGTGCCTGACGGGTTGAGTGTCAGCCCAACTTTTTGTTGGCTTTCCCTCCTTTCCATTTCACTCCCCCTGTCCTCCACTCCTGCTCCCTTGATCCCAAATAAACCTTGGTCTCAGGTTTGCTTCCAGACAAGTCAGTATAGGATAGGGTTTTAGAAAAGCAGACTTGGAAATAAATTAAAATTTCAACTATCTGACCTTGAGGGAGTTACTTAATCTTGTGGTTCCTCAATTTCCTCATCTGTAAAATGCAGATAATACAAGAAATAAGACATATTGGGAAGGGATAAAAGTCAGCAGGAAGAAGGTAACATAGGAATATAGAAAATAATCAATAGCTTGTGACATAGGGTCATAAAAATAGCTGTCATTTATCAAGAACCTTCTAAATGTTAGGAACTTTAAATATATCACCCACCTTTTGTTATAATACCAATAATAATGGTGGGTATTATCCCCATGTTAGAGAGTTTTTAAAAATTGGCTTAGCAAAATACAGTAACTTGTCTAAGGTCAAACCATAAGTGAATGATAGAACTGTTCTCAGATTTGACTGATTTCATTCACTATTCTTTTTCCTCTGTGCCACATAAAGAGGAAATTAGTGCACTTTTTTTTTGATGTTATAAGTGAAGGTTTTATAAAACAGGTAATATTTAAGCTGCTACGTGTAGGATTACTAGCATTTGCAGAGATGAAAGAACAGAACATTCTAGGTAGAGGGGTCAATAGGAACAAAAATCTAGAATTAATGTTCAGGGCCTGTGTATAGGCCCTCACTTTAGAAGGTGGATTTGGAAAGCCAGATTGAAGCCAATTCATAGAGGAGCCATTTTCAGTGCGTCTTCAGCACAAGAATGAATGTGTCCCACTATGAAAAAACATCTCCTTGACAACCAGAGCCTGACAGGATCTGCAAGCTAACTGTAATGCCATCTTTGGAAAGTTTGAATACCTTGAATAGTTTCTTGAATATTTTTGTACATCCCTCTTGATGATGTAGATTATCACTGGTTAAGTATAAGATTCTCAAAGCAAACTGGTAATTTACATGGCCTTACCTTCCCACCCATGTGCACACAGACTCTTCCAATGCCTAGGAGCCACATGATAGCCTGTAGGCCTTTGTAGCTTCTAACTGTGCATTATGTAAACAGATAAAGTTTAAGTAGTGAATGCAATAGATTGTTTGCATTAATGGCCTCAGTTAATGTCCTCCCTGCACCCACACCCTATGGAATGTGAATTTTCAACTCCTCATCAAGAGGTAGTCAATTTCCTCACCCCCTTGAACGTTCGAATCAGAATCAACTTGGCAGCAACTTTTTTTTGGGGGGGGGAGGGGAGGCAAAATTAATAACCTCTCACCATATAGATATCCTCGTAACAGTGGAAAGAATTGCAGCCCTGATTTACCAAACTGGTCTGCAGGCAGAACAGAGAGAAACAAATACGAAATCCATTCCCAGCTGCTTCCAAGATCACACCCTTATGGTAGAGTCTCAGAAGTACTGGAAAGGTGGATGTAGAACACAGAAACATACACTGATTTCACATCATCCCCAGGAAAAGAATACAAGTGACCACGCTTGCTAGTGAATGGAATACTTTTGCATCATGAAGTCACCTAGATTATCTATACGCAGACTTGCATTTAAAAGTGTGGTATATGGATTACATAGTATTTTTTGTAATTATTCTTCTCCCTATAACTTTGTGGTAAGAATATTTGTCCGGTACTTCAGATATTTCTATGACGCATGGCTCCCATGTAACATACAACATTCCGTGAAAATAAGACCTAGGGAAATTCATTAAAAACTAAAGGGATTAATGGTGGATAATAGTCTAAACCATGGTTCTTAAACCTTCTCTCTGAGCATCAGAATCTATAGGGAAGCTTGTTAAAAATAGACATTCCTGGAAGCCACTCAGACTTGCTGCATCAGAATGGAGATAAGGGGTTCGTACAATTTCCCTTTCTGTAAGCTCCCCACACAAGTCTTTATTCAGTCAGCACTATACAAGTCTCTTTTCAGGAACAATATGGCTTTTGGAAACAGCCTCCTTAGACAACATTAAACACAAAGATACAGCTTTAAACCCACCTTGACTGCCTACACCCTCTCTCTTTGTTCCATATATGATTGGGAAACCAAAGACGGTTCACAATGTTATTGAAGCAGCAAATCAAATGGAACCCAGAAGAAGCCGCAAAGGATTTCCCATGGTTAACGTGAACTCCCAATTTTAAATCTTTGCTACAAACTGTTTCTGAAATGGAAACAATTAAAATAGAATTTCTCAATCAAGGGACAAAAACACTCTTAATGCTCTTGATACACATTTCTGAATTGCTTTCCAGAAAATCTCTGCCACTTTACGTCCTGACCCACATGCTCCTCCTTGTGACAACAAGCACCTCCTGCCTGAATGGAGCTCACGGTCTGGGGTGGGGGACATGCAGCAAAAATACCACACTATTACAGAACCACAAATTGGGGCAAATGTTATGAAGGGAAACACAGGGAATACGAACAAATTAGGGGGCAAGGGAGTGCTCTCTGAGTAGACAACATTTCTGTAGATCAGCTAATCTCTGTTGGATGCTAATGAGGGTCAGTAGTCCCAGGGAAAATATCACTGGGCTCT